GGACCCAAACTGGGTGAAGGCTCCAATGCACGTATGTAGATGTAAAGAACACCGAGAACGCTGATACGGAAGACTCGTCAACAATACTCCTTGATTATTGTTGGCTATGGTTGGCCTCTAAGATGCCCCCGAACAGCGACGCGGCCACGGCGCTTCCTTGAAGCTCACAGCATGGCCAGGCCCCGACAAGGCCATCATGTTCTCCCCTTCCTATCGCCTTCTTCCCTCTCCGCTTTGTCTCCTTCCGCCTCCTCCTCCTCCTCCTCCTCGCGCATGGCAGCAGATTGTGGCGCAAAGAGAAGAGCAATGAGGACACACAGGGTCGATGCCACCCTCGCACGTGGCGCCAGGCAAACCACTAACTATACCTACAATCAACCCGCATCGTAAGGACGCACGAGAAGGATGCAAGGGCCTTGGAAGACCGTGTCGGCACTTCGAGGGCGTGGCGCGGCCAGCAGAAGCGGCCAAGGATGGACCGAGGAGGTAACCATGCCAGGGTGCCCTTGGGAAGGTTGCCCATCCATTACTTCGCGCGTTGACTGTCTGAGCTGCACCGTGTCATGCGTCGCGGCGCCCGACGAGGCCCGGCACGGCGAGCTGGTCGCCAGCATGGCCCCAGCGCCTCCGCTCCTCCGCTGCATGGAAACCGTGCTGGCGGGCGAGCCAGGGCAGCAGGCGCCCGACCGGCAGCGCGCAGCGCGCCAGAGGAGGAGGAGGAGGAGGAGGAGGAGGAGGAGGAGGAGGAGGAGGAGGAGGAGGAGGAGGAGGAGGGAGGAGAAAGGCAGAGGAGGAGGAGGAGAAGGAGGAGGAGGAGGAGGAGGAGGGGGAGGAGCGCGGGGCTGCACACTGCGCGGCGCTCCGTGGCGCGAGCGTCGCTCGCATGCGCCAGCCTGCCCTCAACAGCCTCCCGCGGAGCGGGGCGGCCGATGCGGGGGCAGGTTTCTCCGGCGAGGGCGTGCGCGGCCCGTGCGCCAGGCGCAGCTCCAGCAAGGCTGCAGGGGGTGCCGCCGCGCGTCTGCTCCGGCGCCTTGCCTTCGGCAGCCTGCAGCGCGCTCGGCGGCAGGGTGCTGCGCCGCTCGCGTGGGAGGTGGTGGGTCCGCAAGGACGCAGAGGTAACGGACAGCGCGCCGCCCGCGGCAGGCAGGGGTTCGACGGTCGTGCCCGCCGGGCCAGACGCCACGACCGACGCATCGCCGGACGCCGTGCGCTTGTCCTTCGTGGAGCGGGTTGAGCGCTGGGGCGTGGAGGAGTCGGAGGTGTTCTTCGAGCGCGATGAGGATGCAGGTGATGGCGCGCTCGGGCACGGACTTTGCTGGGGAAGGAGGCTCTGCCCGACTCCCAGCCCGTCGCTGTCGCTGCCAACGTCGCCTTGCCGGTCGTCGGAAGCATCCGCGGCAAGGTTTTCTTTGAAAGAGACACAGCAGGCCGCTGCTGCTGCGCCCTGGAGTCCCTGGAGGCTCTCGAGGCGTCTGGTGCTGCAGCGGCACCGGGCGGCGAAGCCGTTGGCAGGGCAGGCCCAGCTGGACGCCGACGGGGACCTTCGGATGGCGAGGAGGGCGAGCGGCCGATGCTGCTGCGCCCGAGCCGCTGGGTCCGGCAGACGGTGCGGAAGGTCGACGATGGCCGAGGCTCTCCTTTTGGCTCAGGCTTCCCACTGGAGCAGGCGGGCGAGCTACGAGGGCAAGCGCCGCCAGTGTGACCGAGCCAGACTGTCGGCCCCTGCGCGAGCGGGCCTCGGCGGCGAGCCGTGCGGGAGGCGCGGCCCGGCGGTCGTGCGCTGTGCTCGGCGCAGGCGGTGCGGATCCTCCCAGTCGCCAGCCAGCGGCAGGGGTGGGACTGGGGCTGCGCTCTCCCGGGGTCCCTCCTCATCCTCCTCCTCCCTCCTCCTCCTCCCTCCTCCTCCTCCTCCCTCCTCCTCCTCCTCCTCCTCCTCCTCCTCCTCCTCCTCATCCTCCTCCTCCTCCTCCTCCTCCTCCTCCCTCCCTCCTTCCCTCCTCCCTCCCTCCCTCCCTCCCTCCCTCCTCCTCTTCCTCCTCCTCCTCCTCCTCCTTTTTCCTCCCTCCATCTCCTCCTCCCCCTCCCTCCCCCCTCACCCTCCTCCTCCTCCTCCTCCTCCTCCTCCTCCTCCTCCTCCCACGTCTGCCTTCCAGTCAGGGGCACCCACCCGCTTGCATGGGAGCTCGTGCACCTCTTTGATGCGCATTATTGACTTGAGGCCCGCGACCCTGGCCCCCCCCACTCAAGAAAAGCTCCTCCTCGCCTCGCTGTCTGCTGCTCGCTTTCCGTTAGGAGGTGCTGTTCCGAAAGTGATGTCGCGATGTACCTGCAGCCTTCAGCCCTCAGCCCGACCCCATGCCCCTCCCCAGACCCCAGACTCCCGACGTCGTGAGTTTCACATCGTTGAACCCTGGAGGTCTCGACCCCTTCCACGGGACCGGCTTCTCATCCCAAGACGTTGTCTAACGGCCCCGCGGCACTGCAGTCGCCCACTTCCAGAAACCTCCCGCCGCATCATCTCCACCAGGCAACGGGGTCTGAGTTCTCTTCGCTCCCCCTCCCCTTTCCTCCTCCTTCCTCCTCCTCCCTCCTCCTCCCCTCCCTCCTCCTCCTTTTCCTTTGTCTTCCTCTTCCTCCTCCCTCTCCTCCTCCTCCCTCCTCCTCTCTCCTCCTCCTCCTGCTCCTCCTCCTCCTCCTCCTCCTCCTCCTCCTCCCTCCTCCCTCCTCCTCCTCCTCCTCCTCCTCCTCCTCCTCCTCCTCCTCCATTCCTTCTCCTTATACATAACTCCTCGATTACTTTCTGATTGATTGTTTTGCCGATCGGCGCGTGCTCTCGCACCCCGCTGAGGGCCCTTTCTGAGGCGAGGGAAGGAGCAAGGCTCAACGAGAAGTGCACTGGCAACTCCCCTCTCGAGACCCTCGCTGCCGACAGTCACGGTCACACGTTGGCAGTTGTCGAGTTTGAGAATGGCGAGAGATTCCTCATTGCTTGTCGGACGTGTAGCTCCTTCGTAGTTTCTACCCAGTTACGGACAAGAAGAGTGGATCAAAATATGCACGGGATAAGATTTGTCAATGCTCAGCGCCCCTCTCACGGGGACTCCATTAATGGGTACCTTGGCCAATGGCCCCGCAACACCAACCCTCCCCGACGTGGGCAGCGCTTTCAATGCCAGAAAGAGGCAAAGGAATTGCAATTTTCGGCAAACGTTCAAACTGCCGACCCGTTCGCGAGTACCTGTTAAAGCCTGGGGGTGAAACTGCGTCTCCGCATCCCCCTGGCCCAGCTCCTGGCACATTTCGCCCACGAGCTGCACGAGCAGGCGCGGGAGGAGGGTAGCTAAAGGCGGGAGCGGGGAGCGTGCGCGGGGGGGGGAGCGAGACACCTCCGCGCGCAACCCGCTAGGGAGCCCACAAAAGACGTACGCGCCCACCCACGCACAGGAACACGGCCCCCCAGTCCGCGAGACCAGCCGCGTGGCACGAAGGAACGCGCAGCGCGTACTCTCGAAACCAACGTGGATTCATGTACGTGTGCGTCCTTCTTTCGCTCCTGGCCCGCGTTCGCCAACCTGGCTTCGGGCGCGCCCCTCGCCCCCGCGCCCGCCGCGCGGTCCTGGCCAAGACGGCAGTGCATGTTCCAAGTTTTCGGTTCGTACTGGGTCCTCCCTCCTGGGGCCAGAAATTCAAACAATTCCTTGTCATGATTTGTCACGGAGCAAGAGAATCCCACTCCTCCCGCCAACGCGCTGGCGATGAACCACAACTTTTGCGCACCCGAGAAAGCAGCAGCCATGAGTCGAAGTTGCGTGTCCATTTCCAGCTTTCTACCACAAGCATTTGCAATGCCCTAGCTTGCAGTGTCCTCGTCTCCGAGGCCCTGACCCCGCTTCCTCGGATCCGCTTCCTCGGATCGCCTGCAGGACGCCTCCTTGGAACGCCCGGAAGCAAGAACGGTCACCATCGGATGGATAAGCGAGACCGAGTCGGAACGCGCATCGAATCGGGCCGGATCGACACAAAGTCCAAATCGAAACGGACTGGCCGCACCAGGATGCAAACCACCCTCACACGAACATTGGGCCGCATCGGAGCGTCGGAACATCGAAATCGAATCGCAGGCCGAAACCGATGTCGAATCGGATCGATCTGATCGAGATGGACCCTGGGAGGGCCCTGCCCGTGGGAGCAGGGCGAGCTGAGACAACAGCAAATGCAGATCAGAATCGGGCTCCGGACCCCGACTGGTGTCCAAACGCTAAAACATGTTCCAACCTCGTCTGACCCTGGCGACGGGGGGCTCCCCCGAAGGCCAAGCACCCCCAGACATGTGATGTTCTGATGCTTTCGTTGCGGGGTCCCAGAAGTCCAGACCTTTTTCCAAAAGCCGTTCTCTTACCCCGCGCCGCTTTTCCACGGCCCCGGGGCATGGCGAGGGCCTCCAGCGGCAAAAAAAGCTGTCTGAAACCTACCGTCGTGACTTTGTTTGTTCCACGGCGTGAGCATGTCTGGGCCGCTGTCTCGACTAGCCCTCCTCTGAGCCAGGGCGCTTCCCAGGCTGGCCACAGCGCTCGGGAGCGGCCAAGAGGGGGGTGTCCAAGAGGGGGGGTGCAAAAATCATGACCGGCGGCATGTGCGCGGCCCTGCGGGGGGGCCAGGGACGTCATGAAATAAGAAGAGGCGCGCCATGAAATCTGGGAAAATATCATGGCCACTGCCATGATGTCCCCCCCCTGACAGTCGGGGCGTTGACCTAAGGAACCCTTTTTTTCCACAAGTTCAACGTCGATCTCCTATCGAAAACATGAGGAAAACCTGAGGCAAGCTGTGAAACACTTGAGGAACGCGGAGCCCCTCCCCAACGAAAAGGGTTCCTTCTTCAGGGCCCCGACTGCAGTCATCACCCCCCTCTTTGCCGCCCCCGATCCCAGGCTGGCCACGGCGCCCGAGGGCGCCCGCGCAGCGCTGCCCGCGCCGGCCCGCCCTCGGGCGCGCCGGGCCTGCTGCTGCAGCCCGGGCGAGTGCTGCACGTGCCACGCGGCGGCGGCGAAGAGGCGGTCGTGGCGGATGTCCAGGCCTCGTGCCGGTGCGGCCGGCAGCGGGCACGGAACGGAGGGGGACATAGATAGACCGGCGGCAGTTCCTGCTCGCTCTGAGCAGGGCTCGCTGTCGGTGCCGCCGCGGGCGTCGTCGATCTGAGTCGACAGGACGCCTGCCCAGCAGCGGCCGCTGGTTTTGGACAACATGTTGCTGTTGGGCATTGCACCTTTTTGTCTTGTACTGATTTTCGGGCGCGCACATTGTCATTCTCGAGGGCGCGGGGGGTGGCGCTGGCCTCCTGAGACGGCGGGACGGCTTCTATGATGTATATCGTGAAGGCACCCCAAGCTTCTAAGAGGCCTCCTCAGCAAAGGCCCCTGCCCATGCCTTCCGAAAAGGCCCCCCCGCCTTCCCAAAGGTCGCCCCCCCTCGCCCCACCAGCTCGTGCGCGCCGCCACCCTCGGAGGAGGACCGAGGCTCGAGGCTTCTGGACCTCGAAGCTCGAGGTTCGAGCATCGAGGCTCTTTGGGCCTTCGGTGGGCTTCGCGTCGGCACGTCTGGATCCGCCTCGAAACCCTGGCCCGTTCTCTCCCCGCGAGAGTTCTGGGGAGTAGTCTCTAACCCCGAACCCTTGCCCCCTCGTGTCATGCGGAATGCTGTTGGCTTCTTTCCGCCCCAGGGCTCCCTGGCTGGACGCCAGAGACATCAGAAGATGGCTCGGGATAACCGGCCGGCCATGGGAACTGGGTCGGGACCTCTGGGGACGCCGCATGGGAAAACACACATCGAATTGGGCACAGAAGAACTGTCCACATGAGCCACCAAGTGGCAGAGCCAAACGGCCGTCTGAAAACGACCTGGGATGAACAGCTGGATCCAGACCCCTTCGGAACCACAATGTTGAACAATCGCGGCGCCAATCCCCGTCCTCCTTATCCACCTCCGCCTCCGTCCCCCGCCTCCTGATCGCGTCCCTCCTCCTCACTCCGCCTAGCCCTGCCCTCATCCATTCTGCACCGTTCTCTTCCCTCCTCCTCCCTCCCCGCCCCCCTCCGCTCCCGCCCTCAGGGGAGGGAAGCATGTTCCTTCAGCGCCGAAGCCTCGCGACGCCTCGCTACGGCGACCACGACGTCCAGGACCATCGAGACCAAGGCGACAGCGGCGGCGACAAAGTTGACGACGACGGGACGAGGGCGACGGCGGCGATGGCGGCAGCGATCGGAGGCGGCGACCACTACGACGGCACAACGACACCAACGGCGACGGCGGCGGCGACGACGGCGGCGGTGACGACGGCGGCGACAGCGACAACAACGACGACGACGGCGACCACAGCTGAAACGACGATCACGACGGCGGCGGCGACAACGAAGGGCAACCGCGACCTCGACGGCGGCGACAATCACGACCGCCGAGAGCCGGAGGCCAGCTTCTTGGCAGCGGGGGGCGCCCCGACCGCAGGGACCGAGCGGGGCCCGCTGGGGTCCCTGCGGGAGAAGGCCCAGGTGGTGATGGAGAGCTCCTGTCCGGGGTGAAAGGTGGGCGGAGGAGGAGGGAGGGGAGGAGGAATAGAGGGCAACATATCCACCCCCAAAATAACCACCCCGAAAAGCGAGGCCGTTTAGTAAACGCACGCAAACAAGGAATCGAACATGGCAGGGCTGCTAAGTAAACGCCCAAGGCCGTTGAATAGACGCCAATTATCGGGTCCGGGTGGCTTTTCTTCTCTTGAAGGAAGGGGAGGTGGCGGGGGAGATGGAGGAGGGGGCCCCGAGAAAGATCAGGGGGGGCGATGGGGAGGGATCCTGTCCAGACGAGCGGGGAAAGAGACAAAATGAGGAGAGAGGAGGGATGGAGGGGGAGGGAGATTGCACTGACCGTGCCGAAAGACCAGGGGAACACAGCGACAACAAAAACGTATAAAGAGGAGCGCGTCTGGGAAGAGCACGTCGGGGTTCATGTGCGCCAATGGTAGATACCAGCAGTTGTCAGCATCCAACACCATTGTATAACTCGCTGACCCCAGCTTCCCGCACAGTTATGCAATATCCCATGAATGTCTCTTTTTAGAATGTGATTGGAAACGCGCCGACCATATCTTTCCGCTGAGCGTTTTCCGCATGCATTGCGAAGAAGGGGCCGAACGACCCGGCGGGCAACTCGACTCGTCCGGCACCCCCCCGAGGGCACGATACGTCTTCATTGGAACTGCCGCCGTCGGGGGTTCGGAGAACACCCGCTCCCGCCACGAAGGAAACGGGGAGCGGACAAGTCGGCGGCGGCGGCGGACAGCGAGATGACTCGTTCGGCCCGGCGTTCCTTCCCCATGGGGTCGGGCCCCTCCCATGAACCCCGCGGGCGCAAAACGCTTCCATCGGAAGCGCCACCTTCGGGGGTTCGGAGGGACCCGCGCCGGCGCGGGACAGGAAGCGGATGTTGAACGACTTGGCGGCGCCAGCG